AGTTACCTTCTATCCTTTAGCAAGTGGCTGGCTGCTGAGGGAGGCTCTTTATAGATGTGGAATCTGCAGACCATGAGACCAGCAGCCTACTCCGCTTTCTACTCTCTCTGTCTCTTTCTCTTTAGATAAAATCTTTTATTTATTTATTTATTTTGAGACAGAGTCTCACTTTGTCACCATTGGTAGAGTGCCATGACATCTTGGCTCAGAGCAACCTCAAACTCTTGGGTTCATGTGATACTCTTGCCTCAGCCTCCTGAGTAGCTGGAACTACAGGTGCCCACTACAATGCCCAGCTATTTTTTAGAGATGGGGTCTTGCTCTGGCTCAGGTTGGTCTTGATCCTTGAGCTCAGGCAATCCCAAGTGCTGGGATTATAGGCATGATCTTTCATTTATTTTGGCCGGGGCTGGGTTTGAACCCACCACCTCCGGCATATAGAGCTGGTGCCCTACTCCTTTGAACCATAGGCGCCACCCTAGTTTTTCTATTTTTATTTTTATTTATTTATTTTGAGACAGTGTCTCCCTATGTCACCCTTGGTAGAGTGCTGTAGTGTCACAGCTCACCTCAAACTCTTGCCTCAGCCTCCCAAGTAGCTGGGACTACAGGTGCCTGCCACAAAACACCTGGCTATTTTTTTGGTTGTAGTTGTCATTGTTTGGCAGGCCTGGGCTGGATTTGAACCCACCAGCTCCAGTGTTTGTGGCTGGTGCCCTACTGCTAAGCTGCAGGCACTTAGACAGTTTTTCTATTTTTAGTAGAGGCAGAGTCTCACTCTTGCACAGGCTGGTCTTGAACTCCTGAGCTTAAGCAATCCACCTTCTTGCACTCCCAGAGTGCTGGGATTACAGACATGAACCACCACACCCAGCCAATAGTCTTTATTTTTAAGCTAATTTGCAGCTTGTTTTAAGATCCGTAATGCTGGCTTTCCCTGGGCTTGGCCATTGTTGAACATAGAGACAGTGGCCTGCTCCCAATCTCTGGACTGGGAAGGCAGGAAGTAAGAGGCCTGGGAAGGGACAGAGATGTTCAGGGGCTAGGTAACACTCTCAGGTGAGGCACAACTGAGGCCCCCACCTCTAGTCAGCCCCTGCTTGTCTGCTTTTTGTCTTTAGCTACAACTCTAGAATAGAGTTAGCTGGCAGAGTTGTAAAAATCCTCAGAAGT